ATTGGCCACCAAGTGCTGGACAAAATTAATTATTTTTAATAAATATTAATTATTAAAAATTTAAAATAAATAATTAAAATTTTATATAAATATAATAACTAAAATTTATATGTATATAAATTTATATTTTTAATAAAAACAAAAACAATAAATATATTATTCCTTTTGTCCCCACCCGGTTAGGTTCTCCGGCATACTTCCGTGTCATGTAATTATTAGGAACGTGACCACCGAATCAACTGCTGTTCGTTCGTTACCATTTTCGTCTTCTTCATCCCCATGCATTGAACCAGTCACCCACCACGTGATTATCCATCAAAGATAGTCAACGGTCATCCCTCCCCTTTTATGCTGCACCGCAATACACATGATCATTTCTCCACAACATCGTCAACTTTTGTTTGCTCTCTGCAGACACAGGACAACGCGTCCTCTGTTCATGTCTCTCGTGTAATGACCCTTCCCTTTCCTTGCCTGCCTTAAATATTTTTTTTCTATGTTTATTCTTTTTGGTATTTAATTTCTTTAACTTTTATAAGTTGTGGGTGGGCCAAATGTTAAGAAAACACTTTAATTTTGGCTCTTAAAACTTATGAAAGTACTGAATTTATCTAACTTATAAAAGTAAAGTTTTTATTTTTAATGGTTTAATCTTCATTTTGGTTGTTCTATTTTAGTAAAAAGTTTTTTTTTAGTCATTCTACTTAAGAAATCATTTTTTATTTCTAAAATTTGAAATTTGATCATTTTTTAATTCTCGGTTAAATTTTACATATGTGTTAAGTTAAATGACACAAATTTCAAAATAGAGGACTAAAAATGGGTTAAAAAGTGACTAAAAATAACTTTAATTTGATCTCTCTATTTAAACAGAAAACCCATTTTTTGTACTTGTCTTTTAAAATTTATATCATTTAACGTCAAAATTTAATAAATGTACTAAAAAGGGATCGGATTTCAAATTTTAAAGACTAAAAAAGGGTGTTTTTAAGTAAATGGATTAAAAAGAGATTTTTTTACCAAAGTAAAGGGACCAAATTGAGGTTTTAACCATTTTAAAACTTAATTAATACTCATTTTGTTTTAAAATAATTAATTATTATTTATTTTAAATTTATCTTAAATTAATTTTTATTTTTTTATTTATTAAAATAGATAATTATTTTAATTTTAATTTTATCATTATTAATTTATTTTGATTAATTATCTTTTTTTTAAATAATATAAATAGATACATAAATTATTTTAAAATTTTTAATTTGAAGAAAAAATAAATAAAAGGACAAAAATAACCACTTGAATGTTGATTTAGATGTTGTCTTTTTATATCATTTATAACCATTAAAATTTGTGTTTATAATTTATAATAGGACAAAATAATTTAGTAGATTGACAATATCCTCTCCTTTAAAACCAGACAGGAGGAAAGCTCAACTAAAGCAATTCTTTTTTTAAAATATTGTAGGCCAAACAACCCCTTATTCCTTAAAAAATTTTTTTTTTAATGTTAGGATATTTAACAATAATTATATAATAAATTTAATAAAATGAAAATTTATAATATACCTCATAAATTTAGTAATTATAATTAAATATTTTAATATTCTTAATAACAAAACGTATTAATCTTTCTTCTCTCTTAAAAAAAGCATGTTTTTTATGTTACTCTAAAATTGGTAATTTACCATAAAAAAAGGATAAAATTAATTATTTTATCTTTAAACAGTGTGAAATCTTTTTTTTTTAGGGGAAAGGGGAAGGAGCACTTTGGGATTGAATACTAAGTTCTCTAGTCCTAAACATGTCAAGTAACGGGGTGGTCATTGGCCACCAAGTGCTGGACAAAATTAATTATTTTACTATCTATTCCTAGTCAAAATGTTAGTATAAATGAAGCCAATGATCTGGAGCATTTCTGCACCTTGGACGTTATCAAGATTCATTACTGCTGAGCTCGTGAAAAAGGAGAGTCCTCGTTGTTTCTCATCAGGTGGTAAGTCTTCCTCTCTCAGATCAAAACCAGCAGATATTCTCAGAACATGAACATGATTGTTCCTATCCAAACATCCGATTCCGATTCAGATCACACCTATTATATTTTTCTTCAAATTCTTCTTCCGGTTAGTTAATTTTATGGCTTCCTTCGATCCCTGTTTAGAGCCTCTTCTAATCTATTCCACCTCCTTTTCTCGATTCTTTCAGCTGATCATTTTCACACGATATATATATATATATATATATATATATATACGTATTTGAATTTTGACGAGAGTTTTCTGATGTTGACTTGATCCGTTGAAGAAATGAATTATCCGATGTTTCAGTTTGACAGATCATTTGTACCGATTATTTCATGATATTTCTTACTCTTTGGAAATTGATTATAATTTTCGTTTTCTGTTCGGTTTCCTGGAAAATTTACAGAGAGAAGAGATGGCGACGGACGCATACAAAGAGGCAGTTGAGGAGCTGTCGAAGTTTCTCAGGTAAAGTCCTTTTTCATCCAAACAGGAAAAGAATCAGAGACTTCATATTCTGTATGTAAATTTATGGATAATCCTTGTCCTTATTCGTCATTTCATTGTTTCATCGGTTCGGTAAACCGCGTTTCAATTACTTGCTTCAACGCGGGGCCCGGTGAGGCGCACCGGGCCCACTGTCGCCGGATCAGTAATTTCATCTAACGGTTTTCTGATGCGTCCTCGGTTGCAGTGAAAAGGCCGGTCTCCAGAGCGTCGCCGTGGCAAAAATCAAGCAGCTAACCGCCGAGTTGCAGGAATTGAAATCGGGAGCATGTGATCCCGTCGAGAAGATGAAAACCGGATTCCTCCACTTCAAGACAGAGAAATACCAGTAGGTTTAATTAATTACGAAATGGCGCAGTCGTGTCGACTGCGAAATTTGTCTGCACTCTGCAGAATTCAGTTTTAGAAATCTGACTACGATTTCTTCTGTTCCCCTTTTTCGCAGAAAGAATCCTGAACTGTACGGCGCCCTTGCAAAAGAACAGAGCCCCAAGGTTCGTCTTCGTCCTAATTCTAAATCTGGATCGATATTGTTTTCTGAATCTGTATTTGGAAAATAACCTGCTATTAATTGGAAGAGTTATGAATTTTGATTTTAATAGTTATTTGAACCAATGAATAATTTACCTATTCAATGAATTTTAAGGATTTTTTGTTGTGGTTGAACAATGAAAACAACTTTATTCCATCATTTTACTTATATGCCTGTAACTCAATTTATGATCTCTTGCTGCTTGTTGTTGCTGGCGTTAATTTCAAGGATAATTATTTTAATTTATATGCTCAATTGGGTTAATTCTTGAAGCGTGTGAAGTACATGGATATGGGTGGATCTTCTTCATTTACACTTTAATAGTGGGAAAACAAAGGATGTGAATTATGTGGATATAGGTGGCTCTTGTTCATTTACCTTTTAATAATGGGAAAACAAGTGGCTGTTTCTTTTTGAGAGAAAGCGAAGTACCGAGAGTTGGGTTTGGAAAGTAAGCTTTTTAAGGGTTGTTTTGATACCATCTTTTTGACTGTTGGGCTCATCTCCATTAACTTTTTAATGGATTATTACTTAGGGGATTAGAGTTGGAAAATGGAGATGTTGGACTACTTTTTATGCTGATTATTAGCTAACACTTTTTTCATTTTTGGGGGATTTTTTCTTTTATGCAGTTTATGGTGTTTGCATGCTCAGACTCTAGAGTTTGCCCATCTCATATCTTGAATTTCCAACCAGGGGAGGCTTTTATGGTGCGAAACATTGCGAGCATGGTCCCACCATATGACAAGGTTAATTTGCTTAACAACGTTAAATTTCACATAGGATTTCTAATTGTATATTTGTACTTACTTTATGTTTCTTTATTCACACAGTCCCATGTTTAGCTTTTAATACCTTTCAACGCTTCTTGCTGGTAATAATATGCTAAATGTCCATAAATTATATGGAGGTTTTGATACATCTGTATGTAATTAGTTTTCTATACAAATTAAAATTTCATACTATTATCTGTTAATGATTCAAAGGGTAATCAGTTTTCTTTGCTTATGATGTTTGTCTGATATGCCCCATTCTCTACAGACAAAGTATTCTGGAGTTGGTGCGGCCATTGAATATGCAGTGTTGCATCTCAAGGTGAATATAATAGCAATTTTGCTCCTAAAACGTTTACTTCTCCTTATGAGTCAGTGTTTCATAGTTATCTTCTCCTTTAATAATTGTGGGCATACTTGGTAGATGGAGACTTTCCCGGTGGAGGCAACGTGATATCCACTCACACGGCATGCCCCACCGTCCATTGCGCCTGCCGAACCGAACCCTATTTTAATAGATGCTCCTTTTTACATTCTAGAAGAATTTATCACTACGTTCTTATATTGCCAACCATTATTATAGTTTCGTGTTTCAGTTCAACTAATGATTTTGGTCTGCTTCTAATTTGATAAGCACAAAAACTCTTTTCCATTTTCTTTAATTTTCCTTTCATTTCTAGAACTGGAGTTGTAAAAGAGAACTTAACTTCCTTCAGGTAGAGAATATTGTGGTTATTGGACACAGTTGCTGTGGCGGTATAAAAGGGCTCATGTCTATCCCAGATGATGGGACCACTAAGAGGTAAGACTTTGTATTATTGAAGCATATAGCATGTTCAATCCCTTTCTTAGTCATATGCTGGATTAAGGATGAAGTAATTTTCAGTAGTTTGGCCTTTCAGAATCTTCGTAGCCCCATGTGAAGCTGATACACCTCATCAATTATTGTAGTCAATAACAAATTGATTAGGGTCTCCAACACTCCAATGATTATTTTGGGTTTTTTCTTGAGGGCGAATATGCTATATAACCATTGCCATTTTTTTGGAGATGTTTGGTTCATGAAAAGCAGAATAGAGGGGCGGAAAAAAAAAAAACGAGAGAACTTTTGAACCTTTTCCTTTCTTTTCTCTGATTTTTTTTTTCTTATTTTATCAT